GCTGGGCCAATCAGAAATAATATTATCTCCCTTGTTGTTGGGATCACTCAGTGATAATATTATCTTCCCTTGTTCTTAGGACCACCCAGGAATAATAATATCTCTTTTGTTGTTTGGATCACTCAGGGATAATATTATCTCCCTTTTTGTTGGGACCACACATGGATAATATTATCTCCTTGTTGTTTGGGCCACCCAGGGATAATATTACCTCCCTTTCGTTTGGATCACTCAGGGATAATATTATCTCCCTTTCGTTTGGATCACTCAGGGATAATATTATCTCCCTTGTTGTTTGAGCCACTCAGGGATAATATTATCTTCCATTTGTTTGGGTCACTCGGGGATAATATTATCTCCCTTTTTGTTGAAACCACATAGGGTAATATTATCTCCTTCGTTCTTGGGACAATTCGGGGGTAATATTATCTTCATTGTTTCTAGGACCACTCGGGATTATATTATCTCCTTCGTTTTTTTGACAACTAAGAGATAATAGTATCGCCATTGTTGTTGGGACCACTCGGGTACAATATTATCTCATTTGTTGTTTAGACCACTCACCAGTCCTTCCCTTAGTGACCAATACCTATGGAAAATGAGATAATATAATATTATCTCACTAGTTGTCGACAATACGGTATTTACCAGTTCAGGGTAGTTCTCACCCGCGATGACAATATACTGTTATATAATATTACTCCCAAAGTGAGGAGCGATCCGTGGAGTAATAGCATTTCTATAGAATTATGTATTACAAGTGGGTTACGCAACAAACCGTTTTAAAGAAAAAACTTAGAAGTACTGGCGGCTTAGAATAACAATTATATGTCTTTTATTGATTATGAAAAACCCATTGATATCATAAACTTTGCGGTAAAATGAATACAAAATGAAAATTGCAATAATTCATGCTCTCAAAAAAAGAATGTGAAGCTGAATTGAAATTTAAAACGTCTCATTTCTGGTTACTGATATTGAAATACTAAAGGGCCCATTTTTCGGACAAATCAAATTTAATACTTTCGCCCCTAATTTAAATTTTGTCGCCAGAGTGCAACGTGTACGAGTCTGTATATCAAAACTTTCTTTCAATCTTTCTCGCTATCATAAATAGTCGTCAGCGTTCCTCTCGTATTTTCATTCTTTTTGCAGTATGAACATCGTGTTGCTTCCTACAAACATTAACGTCAGGCAAGTTGCCAGGAAATAAATACAGAAACAAGTCTTTGTAAGTACCATATTCACAGTGTATGACAAATACCTCTTAAAATTCAAGATTTTCAAAAAATTATTTGACTTTTGGCTCACGGCGAAGATGAAATAGAACGTAAACCAAAGTATGAATTCATACACACACACACACAAACATACAGAAACGCAACTATAATAAGAGTCAATTCTGGTCAAGTATAAATTTGTGGGAAGAACCATGTCTTGATGAAACAAGATGAACTCATTCGAAAATCCACGGAACTGCTCGGCGATGTTCGGTTATAAGCAGAACTATATTACAAAAGCAAAACACTTTGACACGCAAATGTTCAGGTTTGGTGATTTGTTGCAGCCATCTTTGACTTTGAGCTTACATATCATTGTGACGCATTCGGTGTTTGCTTTACCCAGAAGGCCACTGTACGTTGTCTGGTAATTGACTTTTGTGTCTGAAACGTGTATGAAATGTGTGAGTACAGACAAATATAAACACGCAACAGGCGCTGCCCAACTATCCATCCCAAAACGGCTATACATAATGTGAGATAAATGTACGATAATCTCCGACGTCATAGATAACGACATACGTATATATTCATGGTATTCTGACATATCGAGAATAAAATAATACGACGATGTTATGCGAAACCTGTTTCGTGTAGAACGAGTTCTAGCATTAACAAGTCAATCTAACACCCATATTTGGCAGAAAAGTGTGCTTCTAATAAGCATTATACGTCTACATTATCCTGCGGTGTTCAGTGTTTTTTTGCAAAGGTGGCAATAGTTTCACATTTACAAGGTTAAGCACAAGCATATCCGGCTTACGTTCTCGTAACAGTTTCCGTTTTAAAAAAAACTACCTGGTGCTTCTCGACATTTTTTTTATTGCCGGTCTTTATATATAATATATGGTGAAATGAAATACTGGCCAATTTTCAAGTCAGATAATGAGTATTCGTGAATTT